AAGCTTTGTTTCCTTGTGAGTTTGAAGCATTTGGTGTGTCCTCTTGAAGTTTTGGAGTGGGAAGAAGAGTAGATCAAGAAGAAGAAGAGGAGGTCAAGCATCTTTGAGCTATCTCAGTGTGTTCCCTAAGGTATAACTCGTTTTCCCCCTTGTTTTCATGCTTATTGTCCCTTATAGCTCCATTAAAGTCCTTCTTGAACCATTTCCAAGCTTGGGTAGGTTTGAGGGTTCGTAATAAGCTGATTAACCTTTAGATCTAGGCATGGTTGAGCTCCAGGAGCTCAGATCTATTGTCTTTTTGGAACCATATTACATGAAAGCCCTAGATCTACCCTTTTGGTGCATTTTGGACCCTAAAACCCTCATGGTTGCCTATTTACACGTAAAGTTGGAAACTTTACGTGTAGATCAAGCCCCAGGATCACGGATCTATGTATGGCATGAGTTGGATTCGAGCAGAACCGACCATATATTAATTGCATGGTAACAACTTGGCGAATCGAGATGCGAGTCCCCGAGTTTTCCCCTTTTTCGTTATGGCGAGTAGTGTAGTGAGTCCGGGGTGGACTCAGTGAGTCCGGGGTGGACTCATCCATGAAGGAACTCGGTGAGTTCAAGACAATCTTCTTAGATCAAGAACAAACTCGATGAGTTGTTCATACAACTCGGCGAGTCATAGCGTAGAGTGTTCTTCGGATGAAGGCGAACTCGGTGAGTTGTTCATACAACTCGGCGAGTAGGATGCATGACTATTAAGACTTAGGTATAGAGAAAGGGACTCGGCGAGTCGGCAAGCCAACTCGACGAGTCTGGTCCACTGGCAGTTGACTATGACTTAACCCATGACTTGTTAAGGGTAAATGGGCAATTTACCTTGAGGGCGGTTAGCAGTATTTGACTAAGTGTTTGGTGAGAATTACAGCCAGAGGATTTCCGGAGCAGCAACAGCATCACACACATGCTTCGTATTCCGCATCATGAGAACTTCCTGGGGATTTGTACTCTGACATTATTATGTTTATTGAAATGTTTTCCAAACATGCGATATCTTATTAAAATACTTTGATCAGTAAATGTTTTAATTCGAATGTATTGTTAAAAATATGTTTTCAAAAATGAAATTTTTGGCTCGTATTTTGGGGTGTTACAATATGGGACTTTATGCCTTGTACTCGTCGAGTCCCAAGAACGGACTCGCCGAGTCCAATCTTGACCAATTTCATGCAGTCGATTTAAATGAGATATAACACACCAAAACCATAGATCTGGCCTCATAATGTTCACTTTATATGTAAAGTTCCAAACTTGATGCACATGCATGGAGTTTTTAGCTCAAAATCCATATAAAGTGTCCTACAATGTGCATGGGGCTATCATGGCCCTAAAGTTGGCACCTTTATGCCATGAGACTACTCTTAAGGTCGAAATCTGAAGTCAAAACCCACTCAACACTTCCAAATCCGAAATATAACTTAGAAATCCAAAGAGATCCCAAGTTAAAGATGAATAAACACATATATGAGTCAAGACAGGGGCATTATACCTTGAAGCTTCTGAAAATGAAGTAAATTCCCTGGATCTACTGGTCCCAACTCAAGTTCCAAGCTCCTTCCTTCCTTCTAAGCTTAACAACCACACAATAACACCAAAAAATGGCCTCAACAAAGCACAAACGGATAGGGTTTCAATGAGAAGTGTTTTAGGGAGCATAAGGGACAATATGACCGTCGTAACATTGCTTAAATAGGGTGCAAACCCTCGAATTAGGGTTTTTGTCCGAACAGTACCTACTCGCCGAGTCCGGGACACGACTTGCCGAGTCCATCACTTAAGTCCTATGTCTTATCCCGCTTCTACTCAGCGAGTTGGTACTTCAACTCGCCGAGTCCAAGGCCAAAAATTCAAATATTTAAAGAGTTAATTACAAAGAATACGTACCAAGAACCAGGTGCTACAGAACAACTCGTCGAGTTCGTCTTCAACCATAAGGAGATTGCCTTGGACTCGCCGAGTCTGTTCTAGCACTCGTCGAGTCCCATGAACTCCAGGTCTAAGGCTAAGTCCAACGCGTTGGGTCACTCCTTTGGACCTTCTACAACCCTTATACATCCAATTGAGTTCTTTTGACCCTCAATAGATATGGGACTTTATGCCTTGGACTCGTCGAGTCCCAAGAATGGACTCGCCGAGTCGATAACGTCCATGCCCTAAATCATCGATTTCTGATGTACGACCTTTGACCAAATGATAGATCCAAGCCCCTAAGCTCGATCTAGCTCGTAAAGTTTCGAACTTATGTGCATGCATGGGACTTTCGAGCAGAAAAGGCCCTAAAATGGCTCTCATGTTGCATGCAGCCTTCCTTGGGTGCAAAAGCAACCCAAATATGCCTTGTGACTCCTCCCAAGACTTAGATTCGAAGTCTTGACCCCCAACCATGTTTGCAATCATGTTGGCCACATTATATGGCTTAAAGAGCCCCAAATCTTCCCCAAAAAGGGATCTAACAAACAAGCAAGCAAGGTACAAACTTTATACCTTTCAAGGACTGTAAATGATGAACCAAACTCGAATCCTTCAGTCTCCTCTTGGTCCTTCTATGCTCTTCCTTCTTCCTTGAGGTCAAAACCCACAAAATCACTCAAAAGCCTTAGATCTTGCACCAAAACACTTAGGGTTTGCAATGGAGGCTTTATGGGAGCAATAGGGATGAGTGATGGCTGAAAGAGATGATTAAATATGGTGCAAACCCTCAAATTAGGGTTTTATCCGGGCAGCGCCTACTCGCCAAGTTCGGGCGCGGACTCGTCGAGTAGGTCATTAAACGTCTGTGTCCCATACGCTCCGACTCGACGAGTTGGACCTCAACTCACCGAGTCCAATGCCAAAATGCAAGATACTAGAATAAAATACATACCAGAAGCCAAGTGCTACAGTGTTGTATGCGTTCGTGTCTATTATATATATATATATATATATATATATATATATATATATATATATATATATATATATATATATATATATATATATATATATATGGGGTGAAATTGACTCGGGGGTGAAATAGACCCAATACAGCCTTAAGTTGACATATGAGTTTAACTAGACTTGGGGTGAAATAGACTCGGGGTTGAAATATACTCGGTACGACTTTGGGTTGACGCATGAGTTGAAATAGACTCAATGATGAAATAGAACCGACACAACCTTTAGATGGCAGATATGTATGGTATACAATATTTTAGGGAACTTACTAAGTTTCGTGGTTACGATTTCAGTTTATGTTTAGGTATTTCCGGATCGAAGGGGAAGAGCTTTGGATGATCGCATCACACACACCATGACTTCACACTTATTTGACTCTTATGTGTTTTGGATGATTATGAATACATTATGATTTCCATTTGGTTTTTATTAAACACGTTTGGTTGATTTTTTAATTAATATGAAAACAAAAAAATTTTGTTTTGAATTTTGGGACGTTATAGTGTAAGTGCTTTTTGATATTGATTTTAAATTGTTTCTATTTTGTTTGCTTTACTCTAAGTAATTTCGCTAGTTAATTGTTTTAGTTGATGATTTAAGCTGTTGAATTGCAAAATCAGTAACCCCCTCCCATACAATTATATTCGTTAGTTTAATTAGTAGCAATGATTTTCCATTGAAATCATACTTATTCCCATAGAGACACCCTACTTACCTTTACCACTTTATTCTGCGACCGTGCATACTATCTATTTGTGTTTTAGCTGATTTGGATCTGAGAGGTCTTATAAATTTAAAACAAGTTCATTAAAAATACACATCAGTCACCAACATTACGGAAGCAACGTTTGTACGTAGATTCATCTTATTGTTTATTATAAGCGGTTATATCTTCTTTAAGAGGATACAGACGTTTCACATCAAGGACATACTATTTTCCCTCGTGCCTCAAGGCAATCCTTAAATTGCGAATAATCCAAATAGTTATGACTGACAAGTTTCTCCCTTGATATGATTAAGACGAGAGAGAAGTCTGAGTTTGGAGACGAAGGAAGAGGGTTGTTGTCGTTCGTCATCTACAATATGAAAGATGTTTGATTAGTTTGAATTTATCCTTAACATATTTTTAACCCTAAATGGGTTATTAACAATGCCAAGATCCATACTTGGCTTTGCGATGTGTAAATGGATCTCGTAAAACACAACAAAGTTATTTATGTAGGTAATGCAATTTGCCAATTTTAAACTTTTGAAATTTATAGATCATTTGAGATTCATTGATGTTCAATAGCATGTTAATCTCGATTGTGCTCATCTCAAATTTATTGATAGGGATACCACAAACCAATAAGTAGATGGTAAATCAACCATGCAAAACCGCTTGACCCTTGACATAAAATCATTCTCCTGTTGACATACCGGTTAAATACACACGCTCCATCAACAAAACAATTTCACAAGCAACTCATCATTTTAACTTATAGTATTGTATTGATATGTTGATTAACCACATACTTTTCATCATCAAAATATAACTAAAATATGTGTTTTCATGGATAGCACATGACTTATATTTTGTATATGTAAAATGAGAATTTTGTTTTATAACTCGATTAATAGTTTCAATATAGAAACAAAATTCGATAGGTCAATCCAAAAGGACCCTGCTAACATAGTTGAACCCCCCCCCCCCCCCCCCCAAAAAAAAAAAAAAAAAAAAAAAAAAACTCCCAAATGGCAACAATACAGGGATGATAGATTTAAGATATTCTTCTCTCCTCCGACGTAGTTGAAATTTCCCAAAACTTCCAAATGTCAAGTCTAAATGATTTAAGATTTTGGATATCCGATTATATTTGTATATATATATTTTTTCTTACATGATATACTTTTAATGGATTTTTTTACTGTTTTGATACGTTTTTTGCAATCTATCTAATTAAATGATCTGAAACTATTTTGTCGAACTGTTTTAAATAGCTATTTTAAACTATCTATACTTGTTTCATTTACGATGATTATCTTTACGTAGAAAAAAAATCATGTCTTGATAATTGATATAGGAACTTCACTCAACTACATGAGGTTTAAGCCCATATCTAAAAACCCAAATGCAACAAACCCATTTTCTTTCGGCCCTGCTCTTCATAGCATCTATATTTACTTCCACTCAAAAACCTATTTCTCCTTGCCCAAAACCCTAGCCTCCCCATTCCTCTCTGCACTCCGATCTCGCAGAAATGGCCGCCGCTCGTCCCCTCGTCACCGTTCAATCCCTGGAGTCCGACATGGCCACCGACAGTGCTGGGATTCCTCTTCCCCAAGTCATGAAGGCTTCTATCAGGCCCGATATCGTCAATTTCGTTCACTCCAATATCTCCAAAAACTCCCGTCAACCCTACGCCGTTTCCCGAAAGGCCGGCCACCAGACCTCCGCCGAGTCATGGGGTACTGGACGTGCAGTATCCCGTATTCCTCGTGTTCCTGGTGGCGGAACTCACCGTGCCGGACAAGGAGCTTTCGGTAACATGTGTCGTGGTGGACGCATGTTCGCACCGACCAGGATCTGGCGCCGCTGGCACAGGAAGATCAATGTCAACCAGAAGAGGTACGCTGTGGTTTCAGCCATCGCTGCTTCTGCTGTGCCGTCGCTCGTGATGGCTCGTGGTCACCGTATTGAGTCGGTGCCTGAGCTTCCTTTGGTTGTTAGCGACTCCGCAGAGGGCGTTGAGAAGACTCAGAACGCTATCAAGGTTTTGAAGCAGATCGGCGCTTATGCTGATGCGGAGAAAGCCAAGGATTCAGTTGGTATTCGTCCCGGAAAGGGAAAAATGAGGAACCGCAGGTACATTTCTCGTAAAGGACCATTGATTGTGTACGGCACTGAAGGTGCCAAGCTTGTGAAGGCTTTTAGGAACATTCCTGGAGTGGAAATCGCGAATGTTGAGAGGTTGAATTTGTTGAAGCTTGCTCCTGGTGGACATCTTGGAAGATTCATCATCTGGACAAAATCTGCTTTTGAAAAGTTGGATTCCATCTACGGATCATTTGATAAGACAAGTGAGAAGAAGAGGGGTTATGTTTTGCCGAGGGCAAAGATGGAGAATGCTGATCTAGCTCGGATAATCAATTCTGATGAAGTTCAGTCTGTGGTTAAGCCGATCAAGAAGGAGGTAAAGAGGGCTCCAATGAAGAAGAACCCATTGAAGAACTTGAATACTATGCTGAGGTTGAACCCCTACGCCAAGACTGCCAAGAGGATGGCTGTGCTTGCTGAGGAACAGAGGAAGAAGGCTAAGAAGGAAAAGCTTGACGCCAAGAGGCAACCCATTTCCAAGGTATATATTTATCATTCCCAATTTGGTTTAATTGAATGTTTATACTTCATCAAATATGTGCTTAACCTTGTTTGTTTTAGCTGTGTTCTATTGTCTATTAACCATTGTGCAAGATATACTAACCAATTTCCTTGATCACTTTATCTAATATTAGTTGAAATACCTTCTTAGTCCAATTGACATACAATAAATTTATAGTGACAATGTCGACATTACCTAGCTCTACTTTTATCGACCCTTTTTGTGATTTTAAATGAATGTTCTTCTTAACTTGGTGCTCTTCTAAACTTCTATCTTTAAAACTCGTTGCTCATTTAATGAAAAACATCAATTGTGGTTTCCAAGAACTGTTAAGATTGATTTACAATTTCACAAATGTCATCATAATAATCATGATTGCAATCTTACATTCCACAGCTAAATACAAGGAATATCAGTGTGCATCCATTGATATTTTGTTATAGCATCCTACTTTCATTATTTCATATTACAATTGTACTTTGAATCCTCTATCCATTTATAGAAACTTTCATCTAACCCCAAATCAATTTTTATTTCTATAACCAGGTAGTTCTTTTCTAAGTAATAATAGAAATGTAATTTTGTTATAGAAAAAAAATGAAAGCATGATGCTATACAGTGCAATGATTTAATAAAAAAAAAGTTGATATCACAATAAGAAGGCATCTGATTTGTTATATGTTGTATTTTGTATTAATTTTGTGAGTTGATTTTAAACAGGAGGAAACTGCCAAAATCAAGGCAGCTAGCAAATCATGGTACAAGACAATGATTTCAGACAGTGACTATGCTGAGTTTGATGTTTTCACCAAGTGGCTTGGAGTTTCACAGTAATCCTTCTTCTTCCCTCATATGTGTTAGGTTTTTAAGATAAGTTTATAAAGAACCATTTGTTTTGTGTTGTTTTTTTTGATAAGATTGGATTTTTATGGGTTTAATTTTGCAACAAGTTTTGTTGTGTGATGGAGTTATGGTTATGGTTGGAACTTTAATCTTAATCTATGTCATATTTATGTTTGGTTTACTCCTAAATGCTGCATTTGAACAAGATCTTTTTAACTGGATAGCTATGTATAATCGAAAAAGCATTTTCAATCTAATTTGTAAAACGTTTTGTTTTTATGAACGAAGCCTACTTTTTTAACTAATAAGAGGTGCACAAAGCCACTACGCTACTATATTGGGATTGCTTTGGCTAAACTTTAGCTTTTATTTTATTTTTAAAAAATAAACTTTAAGTTGAGAAGCTTTGGTGCGAATAATGCTTTTGAGTTCACCCCTTTATAATTGAGTGATAATGTGTTGATTAAGAGTTGTGTTAGGTAAGAGCTTGTATTATTTATAAAGAGCTTTTGGACCATTTTACAAAGATATATTTAGGTGATGGTTGGAAGAAGTGTGTAACAACAATTAAAAAGAGCTCAATTAATGCAAAGGATACCCAAACAATATTGTTTATCGGTTTTGCCTATTTAGTGCAAAAGGCTAACTGTAGTCAATTGAAGAGCTCTATTATTGTTGTCCTTGTAACCGATACCTTCTCATTTTCCTTTTGACGAATATGTGAATCAATGTGAAACTACTATTAATTGTTAAGCCACTGCCGACTGCTGAGTGTGTTGCCTTTAAACTATTATGGCACTTAAACGAGAAAAAATGAAAGAAGAGTTGGGCATTTAGGTCCGAGGATAGCCCAGGCTAAAGCCTGTTGGGCTTAATATGTTAACTCTTAGGTGGTGCATATGGGCTAAAATTGAATGGACGTTTGTGTACCTCTTCATAAATGGTTAACCAATAAAGACTTGGACTTAAAAATCAGAGCAATAAATTTATTATGGTCGGGAGACTTAGTCAGATTTTTAGCCTACTGATGATGTTATGGGGGATTACTTGGGTTGGCCAGACTGTCTTAAGTCGTCCCCTTTTCTTTAGAAGCTGTTAATTTCTTTCGTGCCTGCCTATCACGTAGGGAAAAGATGCCGAGGCTCCTTATGCTTTCCTTTTCAAGTCGAATGTGAGAATTAGGTAAGGTAGCTTATGTCAATTCATCTGGTGACTTCACAGTCGCCAAAGAAGCCCCAAGAAGCATCAAACATTTCCGATGAGCTAGCTGGCTTGAATTTGAAAGAAAGGCCGCTTCAAGAAGCTATGCCTTTGCCATTAGTGCCATCCTCCCCGCTAGCTGTATGGGCGGGTTGCCCCTCATTGCAAGCTCTCTTTTAGTCTGAGAAGTGTTGCCTATCGACCGTTAGGGCTAAGGCTCACGAGAATAAGTAGGAATGATCTACTAGAGTTTTTATTTGCAACGCTACCTGATTTTCCCCTTTCCTCCCGGAAGATCTGGACGATCAAATACATGCACTGACTTTAAAAAAGAGACAACCTACCTCTGGACGTCTGCTTCAACTTCAAGCCCAAATTTCACAACTAATCCGTTTGTGCACCTCTATGATGCCATACATGCAAGATATGTTCAAGTTCAACCAAAATCGGATATCTCAACTTAACCTAACATCTTTAATTAAATGGATAGTGATTTTTCAACATTCAACTTGTTAAAAAATGATTGATTTTGGGTTGACATATTTATTGTTCCTAACCCAACATGTTTAATAAACGGGTTCAACCGGTAGCCGTAATTAAATTTCAAAATTTCAATAAACTAAAAACCTCACACGTAATTAAATAAGTTACAGACTACAATAATTATTGATTTTTACAAGAATACAACAATGAATACAAATTAAATATTCTAATAATATTAGAAATGTAACTATAATAATTGGAAATTTTTACAAGAATACAACCATGAATACAATTTAAATATTCTAATAATATTCGAAATGTATGGCTTTTCAACTCTCATCTTGATTGTCTATCTTCTTTGTCATGATGGCTTCATAAAGCTCCGAACATTTTGAATCTTTTTTTGCTATAAAAATAAATAAATTAATGTAACATATTAATTATAACAAATTCATGGTTATATATAACACAAAATAGTCAAATAGAAGCTAGAACAAACCTACTCCATACACGAAATCCCTTGCATAGATAATAGTCTCAATCTAAGTCTCAACTGCTGAAAGCTTCACATAACTTTTATAAGCATCAATGACCTTTTTACAGGTGTTGAATGTTGGCGATTTTAGTGTCACCATGTCATTTTAAGTAATTGGAACTAGTATGTGAGCTAGGGGCTTCATAATTTGTATTATAATATATGTACAGAGTTGTACGAAGTGCACACATGTATAAGATCGAATTAGAAGTCGGTTCGATGACTAGTCGGGGTCCGGGGTTTCCAAAGGGGCAGCGCCCCTTTGGTGGGGTCTAGGGGCAGCGCCCCTAGCGGGGTCCAAGGGGCAGAGCCCCACGCTAGGAACACAGTGGGAAATTCAATTTCTTGAGGATGATTATGGTAAAACTAACGAAACTCGTTAGTTTTGGGAACCCTAAATCCTCATTAAATCCAGATTAACATTACTTGCTTCAAAAGCAACTAATGACGACCCAACCCAAATGAAACCCTAATCTTGTTTAATATATAAACAACTCTTCCTCTATACTTCCACATAATCCTCTAGCATATTGGCTTACGTTTTCTATGCCTAGAAACGTAAGTGTCCACTTTGATTATCCCAGATTGAATTTCTTGTAACCCAGACATAGGGTAGAAATATCAGTTCGGAAAGTGATATTATGATCCAAGTTGGTATCCAGATCTCCACCACAAACCCTAAATTTCCCTACATTGAAGTGTAACAATTGGTAAAAATAGGAATGATCGTACGGTACTATGTTTTGTTTATTAAGAAATATGAATATTTTATCAAAATTGGTTGAAGGAATTTATCATGTTTTAATTTGATAAGTACTTGTGAAAAATAAAACAAGTGAGTAATGATAAATTATGTTACGACGTATGACTATGAATCAACACCGGTTTGTGAAAATTAGCATATAACATCATTTGAACGCAATAAACTTAATTTATGTATCAACATGTCTTTAGTTGATAAGTAAGTTAAGTTTTATGTAAAACGTGTACTTAATAGTTGTGAATGATCTAAATTTGACAAATATACGAACCAAAGCGACAAAATGTGCTTAACGATATTGTTAACCGGTTCAATGTCACGAAATTATACCATGGTCAATAAATTTTATATTTAAATAAACAAAAATATAAAATGAATTATTATAAGTCATAATTACTTAATTAGAATGTATTTAAGTGTTTTTGAATAAAAAGAATAAAACATAAACATTTAAGTTCAAATACACAAAAACTACGTTGTTATTTTATACTAAAAATGCATGTATGTATTTGTACATATGTATTATTATCTAGTGGATGACTAGTTATGGGTTATGACTTAATAATGATTTTATGTAAGGAATATGTGTCTAAATCAATTAAGATAAGAGAAATGGTTGAGATAGGTGTCAAGTTAACTAATAAGTGCTTAATCACTTTAGACATTTTGCTAAGAATACTTCTTAATCCCTCTTCTAATTTTCGAGATTTCTAGCTTCCCTCCCCATAACTAGAGCATCTAACTAACTAACTAACTAACTAATAGTTAGTTAGTTAATTAACTAATTCTATCTTTAACCAACTAGGAGACCAAGTGGGCTAGGAGATCAAATCTCATCATTTACCCATCCCATCAATCTAGCTTAATTGATTCCATCTTATCCTCTTATCTTCTCTCCTCTTATTAATCTAGAAACCTCGCTCTCTCCTTTCTTCTTTCATTCCCCAACAAATAATCCAGGGAAATGTTCTCAAAGTTAATCCCATTTCAGGCACACAAATCTCCTTCCTAAGCCCTCAAAACCGTGAACCTTAAGGGGTTGCTGTCCCTTGATGTTTCAGCCACAATTTCACCCATCTACACTATCCTTTTGCTTGATATTTTCATCACCAAATACACCTAGAAGTTCGTTGTTATGATAATTTAAATTAAGGACTCAAAACAGTGGCTAAACTGTTCTTATCTTACCCTTTTGCTGTGAAATTTTCGTGACAGCAACATAGCCAAAACAGTGGCTGTTTTCGAGCATCAAACCAACACCCAAAAATCCTTCATCTTTCTGACCATTTTCGAGATTCAAAGTAGACCATATGTAGCTACTTTCAAACACTTAAACCCCTGAGAAATTTACCCTTTACCTCTCTAAAAGCTTGTGTTATTCCACCACCTTTTGGCAACATACTTTTGATCCAAGTTGAAGCTAGGTATATTCTTGATTTCTACTCTTTCTTTTTATCATCAAAACCACTGATTTTAAATGATTTATGACATGATAAAAGTCTAACATACATGTAAATATATGTCTTTATGTGTTAAGACATCCAAATGAATACTCAAATCACAAACTTGTGTGGAACCAGAAAACACATGAACCATTCTCAACTCGAATAACTCTATGCGACAAAAGTGAGTTTTCTACGGCCCCTATTTTATGTTTTACAAGTTTTGGGGGAGAATACACACTAAAAAAATTATAGTTGAAAGATTTACAGGCTTTGCTAAAAAAAATGCAAGTTATGTCACTAAACATAACTTAGCTTAAATTTCAGCTTTTCACAGAAAAGTAGTGGTCTGTTCACGAACTATTTTGCCCTTATTAAACTTAATGGATTTCAAAAATGTACAATATGAAAATCGTTCAGGTCTATACCTTTACAAGGACTACTCGCACGCGTTCATACGATTTTTCTACAATTTATAATGATTTTTACAAAACTGGCTATCATTTCAGAACATTTTCGGACCTGTCTGTAAAAATGAACATTTTCACTCAGGTTAGGAACCACTTAATATCATGGTAAAAATTATGGACAAAGTAGTCTCATTTTCTAAGCTCTGAGAGTTTACGGATTGCATTTTCGAATTATTATGATTTTTCTCTGATTTTCTAAATATCATGGACAAAATTGCCCTTTTGATAAACTTGCTGTTTGGTTTTTCAAATATAAATATAAAGTTTTGTGGTAAATGAGAAATACACAAATTATGAAATTGTTTAATTAACACATACTTTAAGAGTTACAAAAGTGTAAATTATACCAAGTATTACTAATATAATCATATTGACAACCTTATAACATAAGATGATTTGAACTATGTCGATGTCGCTCATAGCCGGTGTGCTGTATAAATTTAATTGGTCACTTACAGTCAGAGTGCTGTCTAAACAATTGTTATGGTCACTTATAGTCGGAGTACTGTCTAAACATGTAAATGGTCACTTACAGTCGACGTACTGTTTAAACTCGTATTGGGACACAT